CTTCAGTAGAAGGTGTAGAATATAATTGACATGTGCCAATTTCCTTTCTAATTGTAAATTATGCAACATGTTTGATAACCTCCATTTCAGTCAAGATTTTGATTTGGAACGAGTTGAGCCGGTTGGCCAATAGAAATTCTGACCAGCATAAAAACAATGTGACCTATCATTACCGGTGTGAATCATATCTCAATTCACAGACGTACTCCAAAAGATCGCAAAATTCGACATCTTGATAGGTTTCTCCAGTGAACAAGAGGAACACCGCGCAATTTATGTACAAAACATGTTTTTAACAACAATTATATTTAACAAAAAAACATGTATACATTGTTCAGGCGTGCGCAGTGTCAATGTATTCGAGCTGCTTTGCAAAAATGTTCCCCAGAATATAATAAAAGAGTGGAAAGTAGAAATTTATTTGTCTGGTGGTTATCTTCCGATAACACTTTTAAGAGGACACGAGAAAATTCATAAACAAAACAAAACTACCTATTTAGCTTAATAATTATTAATTGTTACAGAAAAAAAGATAATTCTCATTCTTATAAAATAGGTCGCTTTCGAATAAACTGCTGCATACCTGCAAAACTCACAAAAATGTTGAAGGTATCTCGATATAGAAAAACTGAAGCATGTAAAGAACACAACACACACACACCACACACACACACACACACACACACACACACACACACACACACACACACACACACACACACACACACACACACTGGAAACTTTAATTAAAAACAACGACAACAACGAAGAGATGGGAAAAGACGTCCAAATGGACGTTGAACAGAGTGCAAACAGCACCATAACAGGTACTGGAGGTAAGAATACCTACAACTCCTTCCACCGGGAGCAAGTGTATACTATACAAAAGGAAGTGGAACGCTAGCAAGCTTGACCTCGATGCTCTACGAACTTTTCTCATAAGGAGCATACCAACTCTCCAGAGAAACCCCAATCCAAGCACCCGCAAGGAGACGGAAGAAATAGTGACAAGAACCATGAACGTTCGTTAGTGCAAATGTGACTAAATTCATATTTAAAATCACGCGCCAAGCGCCCAGACCGACACCTGTGTTGACCGAATTTTCCCGAACGAAAACGAACAGGATCGCTAAGCTCCCGCCAGTGCAATAACAACAGCGATACCTAGAGCTACGATTGTACTCATTTATTGTTATTTGCAATAAATCCATTAAAAAACGTGAAATTTTACAGGATAATGGGTCGCTAAGCTCCCGCCAGTGCAATAACAACAGCGATACCTAGAGCTACGATTGTACTCATTTATTGTTATTCGCAATAAATCCATTAAAAAACGTGAAATTCTCAAAATTTTTACTGGTCCTTCGATACCGCACAACAAACGCTATTCTCGGCTCATGTAACGCTTCTATGCCACGACTGAAAGTTCGGGGTGCACACAGACCGGCATACTGGTGGTCACCGGAGATAGCAGAATTACGAAGAACATTCCATGTGCTACGTCGCCGCGCAACGAGGGCTGCAAAACGTTCACCCGATCAGGAATTGTATGTGAACGAGTACAAGCACGCAAAAAAAAGCTTGAATAAAACTATCAAAATAAGGAAAGCGACGCTATGGAAGGACTTATGCAATGACCTCAACAATGATATCTGGGGTAAAGCCTACCAACTTGGCACTAAACGACTTGGAAAAGCTGCACCAGAAGCGCCAAAATCACCCTCCGTGATGTATAGCATCGTGGCGGAGCTGTTTCCCAAATACCCGCCGCGGAGGAAAAGACACTATGTTAAAAGTGGCGAAATGACTCTCTTTACTACCAAGGAACTGCAAGACGCGTGGCGGAGCTGTTTCCCAAATACCCGCCGCGGAGGAAGAGACACTATGTTAAAAGTGGCGAAACGACTCCCTTTACTACCAAGGAACTGCAAGACGCGGCAAAGACCATCAAGATAGGAAAAGCACCCGGCCCAGATGGCATTCCAGCCTTGGTGATCAAGACTGTAATACCCGGACATACTCCTACAATGCATGTCTTGCAACTGGCACGCTTGCCACCGTTTGGAAGCGGCAAAGATTGGTCCTGTTGGACAAAGGAAAGGGAACCTCAATACCTTCTTCGTTTAGACCACTATGAATGCTTGACATCGCTGGGAAACTGCTGGAAAAGCAGCAGGCAGCAAGGCAGGCTTCGAAACGACATTGACCGTGCTGGAGGTTTTGCTACCAACCAATACGGGTTTCGGAGAGGTAGCTCGACGATCGAAGCGATTCAGAAGGTGATAGAGACCGCAACAAGAACATGGTCTGGTAGTCTCAAAACTCGCAAAGTATGTTTACTTCTAACATTTGATGTTTAAAATGCCTTTAACAGCGCGAATTGGGGAGATATTCTGGACGCCCTAGAACATAAATTTGATATAGAGCCAAAAAATCTGGAAATGGTTGACGATTACCTCGACGAAAGGACGCTAATTGTAGAATTGACGGAAGGCCCGCAGGAGCACGACATAACGGCCGGCGTGCCTCAGGGCTCAGCCATGGGGTCCGATCTATGGAACGCAGAATATGACCAGCTCCTGAGGATCCCGCTGCCGAATATATATATATATATATATATATTCGTGTTCGAGTGTTCGAAGTGTTTTCGGAGCGCGAGCATTGAAGATGCCAAGTGAGATTTTGGCGAAACGTCTGCAGGATTCCAGTCGGATGCAGGATTTGCAGGATTCCAGTCGGATGCAGGATTCCAGTCGGAGTTCAACGAGCGAACGGATGATATCCCGGAATATAGTGTCATCATATATATATATATATATATATATATATATATATATATATATATATATATATATATATATATATATATATATATATATATATATATATATATATATATATATATATATATATATATATATATATATATATATATATATATATTAAAATTTGCAATTCAGTTTTATATGTTTTATATTTAGTGTCGTTATTAAAAAAAAATCTCTTACTCCTGCTACCAAAGCGTACGGCTTTATCTATCTACAATATTCGTTATTTTTTAAATGTTCTAACAATGTTCTTAGATTTATCCTTGACCACATAATTAAATTTTTCTTTGGCGCAAGCAAATTAGTTTATTCGTATATGGTAACTGCGTGGTTTTGCGTGGTTTGTGATACCAGTTTGCTTTCATTTTTTGTTATTTCTTGAAAATCCTTACGGACAACAAGGAGGAATGTGATAGTACCGTAAAAAGACAAAACGTCCACAAAAAATGAAATTGCACTAGAAAACGCTTGTCTTACAATTTTAAATTTCGGACATATTAAAAGAATTGCGGACCTGGACAATTATCTCTATAAAAATGGTTTTCATCCAAAAAGTTGTCGCGACATTTGAGCGTCGCAAAGCGATGTCAGATTTTCTTTGTCTCCCTTAGAAGTACCCGAAATCAAGCAAGGACCTGGAGCTAAGCTGTAAGCTAGCTTGTTTTCATTTTTTAGTGATTTGAGGAATGGTTAGATGGAATAAAATTAAGTCTTAATAATATTCAGAATCAGGTTCTCAGTCACTCTGAAGCGTCGCACCTCGTTTTTCGTCGTTGTCGTTTACAAGCAACTCTCAGTTGATTTTTAAATTGCTTAGATTTATGACGAGGATATCAGGAATTTAATTCCGCTTAAGTTAATGTCCAAACCTGGGCGAATCTCTACGAACTTGCAGACAAAATCATACCATGTTAGTCAGATCATTCATGAAGTAAGGGCCTCAAGATTTAATAAGGGGATATTATTTATTTTTCAACTATTCATTAAACTGTGATGCACCAATTTCAGCATTTTCGGTAGATCTTTGCCACGATACGTACGTAAATAAAAGTAAATAATATATACATTTAAATGTCTGAATGGTAGTTGATAGTTTTATCATGATAAGTATCCTTGGTATATAGCTCGGTAAATATTAAAACATTTTTATGTTTCTCTCGATATTAATTTATACGCAGGGTACTTTTTTTAGATACTTTTTTAAACAAATCAAGTGTTTGATGACAATTACCGCCTAACACACACTAAAGTTAACAAAGGAAAAACTGTATAGCCTTAACGGAAAGCTTTAATATTGTCACAAATCTAAATGATATTTCGCTGTTTTGTTGATATCGATGTATTAAAAGGAAAGCTACTTTAAATCTGATTAGATTGTCTGGATAAACACACTTTACAATTTTTTTTATAAATACGAACATAAACTAACCTAGAATCGTAGCCATTAAAGTAAACATGCATCGATTGCTTGTAATTTTCCTATTTGTTTCATTTGCGGTAAGTGATTTTTCCCGAATATCACAGACTGTATGTTTTAAAGTAGTACCTCAGAAACATTAGATTGTTTCTGAGTTCTCTTGAAGATTTAAAGCATCGGTTTACACTAAGGCTCCTTTAAAAGTCACCTTAAAGTTACAAGGTTTAAATATTGGTATTAGAAAACTAATTACCAGAATATAAGTGTGCATATAAGTAGATTGAAACTTAATTGAAAAATGGCGTTACATAATAAACAATTTAGAGAATCCACTTTACCTATGATTTACTTTTAGCGGTCAGATCTCATCGTCGAATTGCCAGATGGAACTATTAAGGGAACTCAAGTCACGAGTCACGTGGAATCCCGTTTGCCCAGCCACCATTAGGATCGTCGAGATTCCAAGTAAACATAAGCTATTCTATCACATGCTCTTATAGTTGGAACAAAAGACCCGATAGTAATGCTCCCATTTTGGTACCTAATGATTCGTGGAACGGTACATTAGACGCTACTGAAGTAAAGTCTTGCTGCATTGATTTATTTGGATCCAGATCACATATTAATATAAATATAATATAATATAAATCATATTAATACACATATTTCAAATATTATAAAAATAATACTTCTTAAATTGAATTAAATATTGGAAAATTTACTTTGCGTTGAGGCAAGCAACTTTTAGTTTACACAAGTGGTTGTGCCACTGAGACTACTTTGGTCCCTTCCCACTAGTAAATGAAGACGTTCTAGTGGTCACATCGAACTACCAACTTGGTGTATATGGTTTCCTGTCCACTCAAGATGACGCTGTTTTGGATAACGCGACTTTCAAGGATCAACTGCTCGCCATGAAATGGACGCAGAAAAACATGGAATATTTAGGTGGGGATCCGGAAAAGGTGACCATTTTCGGCCGGAGGAATGTCTGTCGGGGCATATCTCGAAAACAAAAAATCGGCTGGGTTGTACAGAGCGGCAATTTGCCAAAGCGGCTGCCCTTTGTCTCATTTTATCATGACCACTCAACCGGATCCCAGAAAGGGTGCTTACGATATTGCTAAAGCCATAGATCCGTCCATTACTGACCAGAATACCACCTACGAGATACAAGACTTTCTCCATAGTCAATTAACAGATGTGATCAATAAAGCATTTACCTCTAATCCATGGGTAAGTATAAAAAAATATATAGCTCATTAAAAAAGAGATAAATTTACGAAGTTTCAGTGAAATTAGCGATGTGTTGAGTATATTAACATTCCACATATATAGAAACTTTATTTTATAATCCCATCACTTGGCCTGTAATAATATTAATAATAATAATAATAATAATTTAGTCCAGTTTTATCAACGAATAATTGGGTTTTAGTGCCGCAGTTGGTTCATGCTGTAGCTATTTTTTACGACTTGGATAACGTCGCATTATTACCTTCGAACCTTACACCTCAGCTAGGGGCAAACGTGCAGGAAATTGCGAACAAAATCAAACTAGCTTACACAGGCGGTGACTCATTTCTCTTCGATCTCGAAACAGTTGTTGAGGTAACTTCCTAGATTCGTTTCAATACTACTTTGATATTTTGGAAAAAATTAGAATAACGACATTGGTTACTAAGGATCAAATAGGCGAAAGAAGGGATTCTAAATATCAGCAATTTATAAATGAACTACATAATCCAATCCATTACTCTTATATTCATGTAAATATGATAAAGCAAAAGTATTTTGTGTGTGATAATTGTGTGTCTATGTGACTAACTTTTATTCGAGTCTTCGACTATTAACTCTGTAATTAAAAAAAATAGTATATTCTCTGCTCATATTTTGGTAATCCCAAGCGAATCTCAGTCTCAGTATTGTTGTTTTCAGTACACCAGCGATAACTTGATCCTAAGGTCATCTTCCAAGCAAGGCCAACTTCAATCACACTGGTCTTTTTTTATCAATTTTCATTTTCGGGTCTGCTGCACTTTCTCATGACGCAATAGCTTGATAATTAATATTGAGCGTCTACATGGTAGGCATTGGCAGTGTAATACAAGCAGAAGATGTAGTCCACCTCGTTAACTCGACGTTGCCCCTGAGCACAGCTGAACTATTCCAAATCAGGAACAGATTAGTGCGACTTTGGCCAACTTCGCGAAGACACTGTGAGTATTGCTATTACTTTTATTGACTTTCAAACTTAAATTTATAAGTACTTGATGTTTATACCAATAACTAATAGGATTTGATATGTTTAGGGATACTACTCCTGATGAATCGGATCCGCTGATCAACTTAAAGTGGTCCCAAGTATCGGGATCCTTTATTCCGTACCTGGCAAGAAGGTTATTGAAATGGCGGTTTGGAACGACGTCTACTACAATTATGGAGAGCAGCCTTTCGTCGGTTTCTAGATTCAATGTTGATTTTTGAATTGAAGTAATTCATTCGAAATATTTCTTAAAATTAAAGTAAATAAAATTTAAATAAATTGCGGGTTTTTAAATAATACCCCTCTAACAATTCCATTGATATGATAGAAGTGAAAGTGGTACTCATAACCTAGTTATACTAAAATATTTGAACAAACATTGTCTGTTAGAAAAAACTATTGTTTAGTGTTTTATGTCCTAATCCTCCCAAGAAAATCTGCGATGCCCTAGCGGTGAGGTTTTCGGGAGGCAGTCTGCAAAGTCTGAAAACAACCCACATCGATGCACAAGCAGTAAATTGGGTCTTAACAAAATGGATTGTTAAAAGTTGTTTTCATTCGCAGCAAATATAAAATGTTCGAACATTCTAAATCTAAATGACGTTTTAGCTTTGTCTTGTTATCGATGTTCAGTATATTTAAATAAAGACAATATTAAAGCAGATCGCCTCGATAACTCTAGAAAAATCAGTTGAAAAATTATTGTATAAATTCGAACGGACCTTGAATCAGAGCCATTAAAAAGACCATGTATGGATTAATTACAAGTTTTTTTTTATTTAATTAGGGAAATGTAACTGATTGTATAGTTTAAACTAGTATATCTATAGCGAAAGATTAGTTTGCGCTCTTGTAAAATACTTATAAGGCTTCAATTTTTGCGTTAAGATATACATTTTCAGTTTCCATAAAAACTGCCGTCTACTTTTGGTTCTTCTTCGCTCGTGAACGAAGGCATTAGAGTGGTCACATCGAACTATCGACTTGGTGTATATGGTTTCCTGTCCAGTCATGATGATGCTGTTTTGGGCATCGCAGCTTTCACTGCTCGTCGTGCTTGTGATATTATGATCATGTTATGATACGGACTTCCTCGAGAGTTGACCTGATACAATAAACAGTGCATTTTCCGGGAATTCATAGGTAAGCTTTAGTATGCGTGTAAATTAAAGTTTAGCTAGGATTCTGCTACAAGTGATTTTGCATTCAGCGAACGGCTAAAATAAGGAACAAATTTATTTAAAAATCGGTATTTTCGATTTCAATGCCAAAATTCCCACATAGTAAATGTTGTATACCCTATCCCAACTAACTCTTGCTTTTTATGAGCAAAAGTATAAAAACAAAAGTTCTTAAAATACTGGAATTCCTGTCAGCAAATTAAAATATGGAAACAAAACGAGAACTTAAGAGAATTTTGTAATTTGCTTAACCCATAATATCAATAAAGACCCATTACCACAGTGAGTAGCAGGCATGTGAAAGATCATCTACGGCAACTTCCTCCAAAAAATAATGGAATACAAGAATAATTCCCATTGTGGATGACTGCAGAAATATGCAACTTAAAATGACAGAAAATCATACGCAATATCCACAAAAAGTAGTAGTTTGTTGGATATTGGACCTTATTTCTTGGATCAAAATTTTGCTATTCGATATTTACTGTTTCTTCAGAATGACTTCATTCCTTGTCTAAAATTTTTTTTGCAAATCCAATTCAACCTGAAATGAGATAGACACATTCCCTTTCAACAGGATAGTGCTCCGTCTTATTTTGCTCAATACAATGGATAGAATAGACTTTTTTCGATGGAGATATCTAAAATCAAAAGTGTATAACGAAAAACCACAAAATTCGGATGATTTAAACTTTAGAATTAAAATCACGAAAGAACACCAATTAATAAAAATATTCTGAGTAATGTTTTGGAGGGGTTTTTAACTGCTTAGCGTATTGTCAAGAAGATAATGTTTTTTATTCTTTTGCTAATAAAAAGTAAGAGATAGGCCTACACGGTATATTTTCTATTTACTGCAAAAAATGAGCATTTTTCTTGAAATCAAATAACTGTTTTTTAAATGTTTTGTTTCATATCTTAGCTATTCACTAAAATGCTGATATTTTGTATTGAAATTTACGCCATCTTGTATATAATCGATAATATTGTACTTATTTTTTGGATTATGGAGAGAAATATTGCGAAGCTGATTCTAAAATATAATGTAATATTTAAATACACATTGAAAACAACTAGAGATAACCATTCATTATCGATGAATTTAATCGCAAATAGGCGATTAAGAGGATCGAATGGAAAATTTATTTTATAACCAGATCAATTGAACTATCGTTTCTTTTTCTTGTACTGCAGACAAATGTAGAGACAGATGAAGACAGGAAGACGCATATGTAACCGAATACAGCTTGCTTAACTTGAGGTCTCAATATATGGTAAACTACTTCTAGGGCCGTTAGATAGTTGGCGATACACGGCTAAACAAATCCATGACTACCAGTTGTACGGTTGCAAATGGACAGACTTGCCAAATTAAAAGCAGCATTAATCTGCCAATCCGATTTAGAGATAGATCATTGTACTTGAGATAATAGCCATACCCAAGCTTCTACATACCTTAATCCTCGGCATGAAGTTCTGCAGCAAAATACAGATAAAACCAGATCTACATAACAGTGAGTGGACCTTTAAGCAAACCGTTAACGATACCCCTGACTTCGCTGTCATCCAGTATTTGCACGCCCTCACTCCCGAACAGAGGGAAACTGAATAGCACTATCGAACCCTTATTTGTTGCCACCAAATTCCCCTTGGTCCTCGCCGATCGTAATGGTTCGAAAATAAAAACAAATGATTGGCGATTCTGCGTACAGTATCGAACCTTAAATAAAGTTGCTGTACCCGATGCATATCCAATACCATACGTGACTGCAACCTTGGACAAGCTCAAAGACACCAAGTTTCTGACAACCCTCTATATCAAATCGGCGTATTGGCACATTGCAATAGAGAAGAATTCCCGTCTCCTCTGCCTTTACTGTGCCAAACAGGGGACATTTTCAGTTTACTAGAATGCCGTTTGGCTTAATCATCGCCCCCGCAGTATGGCAATGGTTAATTGACCGTTTTGTGAGAGTAGATCTCGAACCATTTGTCTTTGCCTATTTGTAATTTTGTAATTTGTAATGCAATTTCCATCTATCAGAGGTAAAATATCTGGGTTACGTTGTCAATGCATCCGGGTTATTAGTGGCCACTGAGAAAGTTGAGGCGATCGTAAAGATCCCGACACCGAGGAATATCTCTGAAGTTCGCCGAATTGTTCGCCGAAAGTTTATCTGGAGCTGCGAGAACCTTGACACCTTCAAGGAAGTGCTCATTCATGTACCAATTCCGTCACCTCCAGATTTTGAAAAGCTGTCCAGTGCGACGCGTCGGACTCAGGGATTGGAGCAGTATGAACCCAGAGTGATGGTGAGAACGAGCACATGATCTATTATGTGAGTCGCTCTTTAACGAATTGCGAACGCAAGTACAGAGTTACGGAAAAAGAATATCTCGCGGTGTTGTTTGCTGTCGAGAAACTCCCTCTTCACATCGAGGGAACCCATTTTCACCATCATAATGGAGCACTACAGCCTTCAATGGTTAAATTTTATTAAGGATCCGGTTGGGCGTATAGCCCGGTGGGCGGTAAGTCTGCAGCAGTACAGTTTTGATATCCTTCAGATCAGAACAACGTTGTACCCAATACACTCTCTTGTGGATACGATTTCGCTTGCTCATGAGGTTCAGGGTAAATAGTATATAAAAATGTCCAACTTGATTCTTTCTTACCGTTGATGATTTATGTAAGATACATATTGGGTTGCGTCATAAATAACTAAGTGGTTGGTTGAAAGGAAAATTTTTATACTGTTTACTTCAAAATGCCTTATAAAAAGAAATGTAATAAACAACAAAGTGGAAAAATAGATGACGATGATTTCGAATCGGTTGAGTTTAGGACTCCAAAATCGAGTTTGGAGGATGTCGTGAGTAAATTAGCGGATGGCATGAAACAAATGCAAGTTGGTATGGCGCAGTCGGCCGACACGGTGGCGAATTCTGTTAAAAAATCGCAAGTTTCGACTAACGACAAACATTATATATCTTTGTGGCGTGAATTGGGGGTTCGAACTTGACATTCCATCCGGATGGTAGCGTACATCCAATAACTTTTTTGAAAAAATTAACGCAATTTTTAAACGATGCAAAAGTTCCGGAGGAAAGTAAGGTTTCTTTGGCTTTAACAACCTTGAGGGGTTCCGCGGTAGATTGGGGGGTCGCTAAGGAAAGTTCGTTTAAAAATTGGGAAGAGTTTAGTGACTGTTTTAAAAACAGAATTTGGGGAATAAATCAAGAGCGCGAGCTATTCTTCGAAATTAAATATGGCGAGTTCAGATCAGGTAACCGAGCTGATTATTTTTTGAAAAAAGTAGCCCAAGCCGCGTTTTTAACTGAAAACCTACCCGAAGGTCAACTAGTAGAATATCTCGTAAAACATTTTTCAGCCGATATACAAAGAGGGATATTTATTGCGGGTTTGAAAACAATAGATGAAGTCGAATGCTATTTAAAGAAATTAGATGATACGTTTGAGGGAGAAAGGTCGCGTAGATCAGAGGAAAATGTTAGAAATGTTAGTTTTAATAATTATCAAAGTCGAGATTCAACACCGAGTAGACAGGAAAATCAAAATACGAGTAATCCGCTAGATTCGAAAAATGATAATGCGAGAGGGGACGGTAGCGGAAACCGAAATGTTCGATTTTTAACTAGATCCGAGGAGCTTTTGAGTGACGGGGATGAAAGTGACTCCGCAGAGGAACAAGAAATGTTGTCTTCGATAATTGAAACTTTGATATTTGACCAGAAAATAGACGTATTAGTTGACTCAGGTAGTCAGTGTTGTGCCATATCTGAATCTTTCTTTAAAAAGTTACAGGAGGGTAATAAAAATTTACCACTATTACCAATCTCTAATATGAACATTTCTGCTGCTTTTGGGGGGAAAAGTATTAAGGTAAAAGTTCAGGTTTTACTTCCAGTTGAAATTGTAAAAGAAAAATTTGACATTTCTTGTATAGTAGTGCCTACGTTAAATCAGGATTTAATCTTAGGTAC